AAAACCATCATTGACGAGATGCAACAACCAAATCCACAGTAGCACCAAGACAGCACCAAATAAAGCGCACAATCTTGATAACGTAACTCAGGTCAGAACTGAGCACAACAGAAAATATCCAAACATAAGTGAAGGAAATTATGTTAAAATATTTGATAAAGGAAAGGGCAACTATGTATCAAGGAAAGAAACTAGAAGTCAGTGGAGTGAAAGAAAATATAAAGTAATGCTAGTTGGTCGTGATATGATGAATAATAGATATTATGAATTGGATGCAATGAGTAAAAAATATAATAAACATGAAGTACTATTGGTTGATTAGTAACTGTTTTTTTTTCTTCTGTTTTCGCCGTTCTCTTCTTTTTGCATTTATTTTATCCTTGTTTTTTTTTTGTATTTTTCTTTTGTTGTTGTCTTATTGCGTCTTTGTTTTCTGCTCTATGCTTTGAATTTTTCTCATAATATTTATCTTTCTTGCATTTTGTTTTTTTTCTTCACGGTGCTGCTTGTTTTTTCTTTTTATTTTTCAATATTTTCTATTTGAATATTTGGCGTCCTTTCGTTTCTTCAAGGTGATGCTCTCCTGTGGCATCGTAGTATTCCATTCAAGTCCGACCAACAAAACATCCGCTAAGACGGCTCTTATCATTTTCAATATATTCACCTTCTTTCTTCTCGAGTTGCTTTTTGTTTTGGTATGGGCATTCTTCAAGAAAAACATTTTACAGTTTTCAACACCGAACTCAGCAAACGGTTTCGTAGAGTTAGGATGGTGTTTTAGGGATTTGTGTGGCTTATATAGATAAGATTTATAATATCTTCTATGTTTTGCCGTTCTTTGACTTAGTTTTTCAGTTGTTGAATTTATATACATATATCTTAAACCATCTTTTCGTTGTGTAGACATTTTATGGCGTAATGTCCAAATGGGAGACTCTCAACATCTGAATGCCAGTAGCTTTTATTGTCGTAGTTGCTTGAAGGATATTTAGTCTGATTAATGCTATATATAGATTTGATGGTTCTTACTTCTGATAATGTTAAAAGCGACTTCTTCTTTACAGTTTCTATTCGATTTTTCTTCATAAGTCTTGTAACTCAACTGATTGCTCACTTTATGCTTGACTACTACTTTACTTTTCTTGTGTTCTTTCTCATCACCATACACTTTATAACAATATGCCTTTGGTTTCAATCTTATAAAGTGAGTAATTACTTTTCCGTTCATTTCATCCTTGAATTTTCCTACTACCTTCTTATTTGTGTTATCATAGTTTGGAGGCTCTTGTGGATAATCACTGAAATCAATGTATTCGTGTATCTCCTTAAAGTCTTCACATATGTCACCAGTCTCAACTTTGATTACAAAACTATCAGTATCAGTATATACCAATTTGATTTTATCATCATATTTTGGTTTCAAAACATCATAATGGAAGGAACACATGTGAATTTTAGAATAGTCTAAAATAGACATACCAATATAGATAGGTTTGTTTAGTTCCACTGTGTGCTTATTTTTTTCAAATCGTTTTTTTTTTGGCGTTTTTTCCCAATCGTTTTTTTGTTGTTTTTTTTTGGAAACGTTTTTTTATTTGTTTTTTTTTTCAAATTCTCGGCTGCGAGCATCCCAGGCTTGCGGTGAAAGCGTTCAACACAGAGAAGACTGCTTAGCAGGTGCCTGCCGCCTTGAGCTCGCCTTGATTCAACTCAGTTTTTTCGGTGGAGTTGATGCCAGTTCCCATCCTGAAGACCATGTCACAACCCTCACTCTCCAAAACTCAAGGTGTCCTTGCCACCCCTTTTGCACCATGCTTCCCATCCACATTCTGCAGGCTTTTTGGCTGAAGAGTTTGACCTCAAGCTGTTGTATGCAAACCACTGCAGCCAATGCTTGCACAAATAATGAAATAAATCCTTCAACATCTTCAACGCCCCGGGGGGACTATTGAGAATCACAGGCATCACATTGACTGACCGAGCCATCCACTCCACCATGGCTCGCAGAAAGACCATGGCTGGCAGAAGGCTGTTCAGCTCTGCAATCCAGGCGATCAAGAGGGAGGCAGCTCGGAATTGTGCTTCGATTTTTGAGAAAGGAAGAGAAGGATTCTGTTTTGTTTTTCTGTCCTTTTGGGCCCCCTGGTGGTGCCCACGTGTCAGAACGTGGTAACTTTTAGCATCATGGAAGCATTTTTGGTGCTGGAATCTCAGGCCCCGGGCAACTCCCACAAGGATTGGACACTCAGTATCTGGGCGACACTGGAGCTGGTACTGCGGTGCTGGCACAGCCTGTCATTTAAAGCAAACTTTGTTTTGTCACCTTGCTTTGCCGATCTTGTCAGCTTCGGACTGTTATGTTGTGCCATGTTGCATACTCATGGTCATGCAGTCGTCATGTTGCGTTCTGAGATTCCATAGTCTGCAAATCAAGGCATGTCCTTATCGATTTCCAGCCATCATGGCTCAGGTGTCCTGAGGCATCGGATTCAATGGGGCTCTTTCCCCCGCCCGTCGATGAAGGCAACGGCTAGATTTTCTGGCGGAGTTGAGGCAAGGTGCATCCTAAGTAGCCTCGAAACAACGGCCCTAGAAGCTGATTGCAGAGGTGATGCGTTTTGAACCGCGGTGCCAACTTCAAACACCAAATTGCCTTGGCCTGCAGTGGGACATTGCTCAAGACCACATCTTCAGGTCCGACATCATCACAGGCGCCTTCCTCCAGTCCTCCAAGGCGCGGTGACGCAACTAGCTCAAATAGGCTCAAATTAAGGCCGCAACATCCGGCAACCAACTGACCCGGGTTTTTATCGTGACAGAGTCTGACCGAGTTTTCAGCTTCAGTTTCTTGAAGAGAAACCCGCTGAATGCATTACAGGGGGAACAAGTTAGATCAAGTTAGCAAAGCCAAACTGAAGGAAAGTTCTCTGATGGCGCCAGATCCCCCAATGACTTTGCTGATTCAGGACGCAAAGTCCGTTCTGGTGGACAAGACCTGGCTCGACCCAGTTCAGGACGCGCTTGAGGCTAGACATGGTCATTAGGGATGCATGCTTTGATCTTTGTACCGTCTCAACCAAGTCAGCACGTTTCAACCGAAGCAGCCAATCATTCCATTGATGGTGCCAACCGAGGATTAGTAGACCCTGGTTTATCAATTAGGGGGGAACCCCTGCAAGTGATGATTGGCTACTGAAATGCAGCCACCCTTGATAAACCAGTTGTTAATCTGGGGTTGGTATCACAGCCTTTGGGTCCTTCACTTGGGCCAAGCCCCAGTTTCCAGGAAGAGCGACCTCAATGGACGGCTCCAACTGCACCAACCACGGCAAAGGTGACTCAGTCTGCAATTTAGCCGGGCCTTTTGCGAAAGATACCTGTTGCAATTTTCCATCCTTCCAGCAGCCAGAAACGGTATAAATTCCAGTCAACTCGCAGCTGCCCTGCAGTGGCAACTTCGGCACTTTGGTTTCGTCGAACCCTTTTCAGGTCTGTGGGCCGTTGGTGCTGCAAGAGATCTTCTTGCCGGATCCTGCTGTTCTCCGGGCTTTTCGCTTTGTCAGGCTTTGTCGCTTGGCCAGCGGCATCGGCGAGTGGTTGCGCATGGCTGTGACATGCTTTGGATGGCTGATGGCAGTCCGTTTGGCGACGGGGCAACCAAACCAGCTCATTACTCAGACTCACAAGCTCAAAAGATTGTTTTAAAGTTCCTGGGGGCAGCGAAGGGCTGAACATCACAAAGTATTTCGCGGCATTGCATGATGCTTTTCTGAGAGGGCCTAAGACTTCTTACAGTTTCAACGTTTTCTGCCATGGCGTAGGGCTTTGCTTGTTGAGCTGGCCTCTTGTTCCAGTGTTCACGCCATCACAGCCGGGGTGGTGAGACAGCGCCCGCATGTGGAACCATGTTTTGCAATCCTGGTTGCAACTGGTGGAGACTGGGGCAGCGCTGAGAGATGTTAACCCTTTGGTGTTGCAGGCATTTCCCCTAACACCCTGCATGTCAGTCAAACCAGCTGCAAACCCCTAGCAGGGGCCCAAGACCTCGCACGGTCTCAGGTTCCTGCGCCGCGTTGACCAGTGAGTGTAGTGAAGCAGCGGCTTTCAGCTGATGTTCTCCTGAGTGTTCTGGTAAGCATTGGTAAATAGTGTCCTAGCCTTGCAGCCGATGCGGACCACAAGTTGTTCGGTTGCTTGGCTGTGTGCTGCTTTCATGTCTTTACACTAGCGACAATGCATTCTGTACCTGGAACTGCTTGCACACACATGCAGCTGCAGTATCACCACCTATGTAGCAGAGGGTTTCTGGATCTATGCAGGATTTGTGTGCCTACAATGGCTAGCCGCTTGCAACATAGAGTGAAAAGGGAACGGTGCAACTCCGAATGATTTATGTGGGACTCCTGACGCATGCTTGACCACATGCGAGCGCAAAGCTACAACACTTTCTCAGCGGCCGGGATTGCTTGCACAGGGCGCCTGCGAAGATGCATGCTGAGCCGGTGCACAGTGGAACCCAGGCAAGGAGGCCACTGGGTTGTTGGCAAACTGGAGCAGACAAGTGAGGGCTTAGACCCGGGAACATGATGCTGAAGCTTTTCGGATTGCCGCCAATGATGTCAATGGACCAAAAGGGTCTCAGAGTGTTCTTTGGATACGGGGCTTGTCATTTCGATCGTCCTATGCTATGTCACAATGCGAATGGGAACCTTTGCAAACCAGACGGTGATCATTATGATTCCTCACTGCTGTGGCTAACCCACTAGGTGGGTGACCTGGAATTTCTGATAGGAACCCGAAAGGATGAGATGGGGCCCATGGGATTCCAACTCCTCGGTGAACCAGTGCGGGCAGCTGAGGTCTGCACAGGTCACTGGTAACTGCATGATGTTAATGCTGCGTGTTTGGCATCATGATTTTTGACATACATTATGCATGATGCAACTGCAGGGTCATGAAACAATGTAGTCGTTTTTTTTTTGTTTTTGTTTAAAAAAACCAGGTTTACAGGAGTTAGCTTGTATAGCAGACAACATAAATTTATGATATGCCTGTGTTTGAATAGCGGTTTATTCACCAGTTTCTGGAAGCGTTCAGGCGTAGTCACTATCTCATCATCACCATGCTTTCTCACATTCCCCATGGTCTTGCCATATACGCTGTTATTCATTAACTTAAACAAATCTTTTTCAAAATCATTTTTGGCATTTTTTCTCTTTTCAGTGTTGAATTCAATGAATGGTTCTAGGAAGTTTGCTTGTTTAAAACTTATTGCCCTCTGGACTTTTCTAAGCCTTAATCCATGCTGCGAATAAAACTTCAATGCTGATATATGTAAAACATATTTCTTTTTTTCCATCACATTTAATACTAACTTATTTGTGTTTTCATCACTGGCATATTTTCCACAATAGTATTTGTGTATATCTTTTTGGACTTGTGAAAACATACTCTCATTGACACACATGATTCCAGGTGCTAGTGGGTAGTCTTTATGTAAATCATGAAGTTCCTTTGGATAATCTAAATCAACTTCCAATATATATCCTATGTCATCATCATCACTATATTTCATTACTCTCTTTTCATCCATTCTACCGTAATACCATTTAAAATCGTCATAAGACAGTTTCTTACACATTGCTAATCCGTAAAGGTTATTAGCATCCAAATAACTTATGTATGATGAAGGTTTGGATTTATCATAATCTTCATTCATGTATTTATTGTTTGCTTCTACCTTCCTAAAGGAGCACTGTGTCATTCCTCCTCTTAATCCATGTTCAATCATCTCATACTTTTTTTTTATGTGTATTTGTTGTAGTCTAACTCCTGTCAATGATAAAAAGGCATTCCAAGAACAGTTAGGTAAAGTGATATAATATGCTGGATCTAGGCCATAGTAGTTTAAGCACATGTCCCTAGAATTTTCAAATACATCGGTTAGTAAATATACATCAGTCATCAAATATAAATCAAAAATATTAATGTTAAAATGTTTCCATACAATATTTGCTCTGGCGTAGCCTTTATGTTTTCTTCATATAATTTACTGTAAAAAGATTCTTTCTTTGGTAGTTTTGTTTCGCTAAATTTATCCCATGAATTTATGTAGTCATAGGGATATACACCCTTATCAGTCAGCAAATTCAAATCAGTTTTAGATTTGATATATGGGTTGGTGCTTGTATATCTGAAACGAGTTTCCCAATCTGTAATCTTTTCATTTCCTTCATATTTGTTTAGTCTAACTAATTTATTTAATGATGCCGTTAAGAAAGCAAAACTGTCTTTAAACTGACAAGCGCCAAATGAAAAGGTTATGAACTTTTCGCTGTTTTGTGCTATTTCATCTATTCTTTTGTTTTGGTTTAGTTCTATGTTTAGTTCATTTGCTTTTGCTATGATTAAGTGAGCGTCATAGTTTTTAAGATTATGAAAGAGGATAGGGATTTTGAAATATCTAAATGAATAATCCAAATTACATTTTACGTGCGCCGCGCCTCTGTATTTGCCAGTGAAGTGGCAATGGTCTTGGGCTTTTGTATCATCAGGTTCAAATTTCTTATTACATATAGAGCAGCGGGTCGCTTGTCTAAATTCTGTCTTTTGTTCGTAAGTTAATTCATCCATTGGTTTATTGACATTCATTTTTTCAAATGTATCTTTCTTAAATTCAGTCAGTTGTTCTACAATTTTTTTCATACAATCCTCACCTCTGTATAGGTATGGTTGGCATGTATTATCAATCCTGCTTACTACATTCAACATATAACCACATGGTTTATGTTCTTGGTAAGTTCCTCGGGGAGCATTGCTTCCAGAGCAACTTAGGGCACCTTCGGTGCCGTAAGTTCCCTTTATTTCAGTATTAGAGTTAGTGGTTAGACATTCAAAGTCACCATAGGTTACAAAAGGACAAGGCAATTTAGTATTATGCTTTTCAAATTCTATATAAGTGTCTTTATCGGGCATCTTTGTTTGTTGTCCTTCTGATGCCATACATCCTTTTTCAAGATGGTTCTTATACGCCTTTTCTGTTGAGAAAGGATTTAAACAATGATGGCAATAATGTTTTTTACTATCATCCTTGTTGCTTTGACAGGTTAATAATCTGCTTTTGTTCCTAACCAAGGCGTAGTGATAATTATTGTCTTCATCATAGACCTTTAACAAATCAATCTCATACTTAGCATTTCTATTTTTGGTGCCTCTGTGTAATATGATTTGATTATCATTTAAGCAGTCCTCAGGTTCAAAAACATTTATTGAAACTATTTTATTGTTCTCTTCAAATCTATCTATGTCCCTGTTACCAGTTGGAAAATTTACACCATCCCAGTTCAAAGTTCAAAATATAATCTTTCAGTTTATTATAGTGGAACATTTCCTCTGGGTGATGTTAGCTTATTTTGCCATAGACTACGGATTGAATACAATATTTGAAGCATTTTTGATGTTTGTTTTTGATGTTGATACATGCCTTGTTTAGTTTAATCCATTCTGGTAATTCTATGTATCTCCCTGCTCTTGTTGGATCATATTTGTCATAATGAATGGTTATTGATAAAATATTTTTAAAGCGTAGATTAGAGGTTGATGCTTCTAAATTTTGTATTTGTAATAAGATTTGTTTAACACTATCTTCTAATGCTTGTCTCAGTTCATCCTCATTACCAATATTGAAGCGTGTTGATGGTAGAGCATATACAAGTTCCTGACTGCCAATTTCATTACCTCCATCATCGTATTCAGGTTTTTCAAAGAGTGCTTCTGTTCTTATATTAAGTTTCATGCTTCTATTCTTTCTTAAAAACTCCAATAGTCTTGGTTTTTGGTGAGCAATCATTTCTAATCCCCTTTCACTTTCAAAGTGTTTATTTTCTAACAGTATTGAATTAGCATATCTTTTAAATGCTGACTGAATATCTCTGACCTTAAATTTGTTTTGTATTGCGTGTTTGGTGGGTAAATTTTTTACTTTTCCTTCACTGAACGCATCTTTTGCCTTTTTTAAAGCATAACTTCTGTATTCATTAGTTCTCTTTACTGTTAATAGTTTCTCTTTACTGTTAATGGTTTCTTTTTTAAGACATTAGATATGGGTTTGTCTTTGTTGTATCTAAATTTCTTGTTGTCTATTACTATTGATTTCAATTCTTTTCTTCCTCTTTTTGGTATTCCTGCTAAATCATTACTCAATAGATAGTCTATAACTTTTTTCATCATATAGCATTATATATTTTATTTAGTTAATTTATCTTTAAGTAGTTTTTTTTAAAAGAATGCCTTATTTTAATCTTTGAATATGTACTTAAAGAATAGTTAAGTATATTAGTAGGATGGATTGTGCGAAGGATTTACCCGTTGATGTGCTGAGTAAAATTGCTTCTTATAAAATTGGAGACCCTAAATATTTGAAAATCAAATATTGCCATATTGAGGCATTAAAGAGAATACAAGCAACTATAAGATTTCAAGACTTGGTCCTAAAATAGCAAGACATTTGAGATCAAGAGAAAAATATGTAATTGAATACCGTATTATGACAGAGGGAGTGCCATTTAGTTGAAAAAGTTTAGAAAACATCATAACAGAAGAAAAAGAAGAATTATTATCTTTATTTTATGAAGAAGTAGAAGATGATTTAAATTTTAGAGTTAAACTTGATATTGAAGTCCAATTAGTGGCGAGAGATTTATTTT